TGTCCATCAGAAAGCATCTTGGGATATGCAAGATGCTTTCTGAATAATGATTTCCTATTATTTCACATTGATAACATATTTTCTTTCACATTTTGCCAGCACTTATTTTACATGATTAGAATTATTTGTCATATGAAATTAAATTTGAGTACATAATTTACTGGTCTAAATTTTCATTTCTCAGATTTTGATTGATATTTGCAGGCCTTCCTTTGCCAAGGAAAACATAATTCTTAAGGAAACTAACATGTTTTCCTTACATTTTCACCTTCCATGGAAGACAAATTAATCCTTTTCAGAGGTATATCATGTGACCCTATATTGTCATTAAGTTGCAATATTTCTTCTTTCCTTTGTGACACTAGGCATTCAAAAACCACAATAAGCTTCATCCTTTCTGAGAGCCTGGCACCCTATCTTGTCATTAGGTTGTAATTTTTTTTCTTTATTTTATGACACTAGGCTTTCAAAAACCACAAGCAACATCACCCTCTCAGTGAGCCTGGTACAGCAGACCTGACAGCTGATGTTGACTTTGCCTACCTCAAGAAGCAGGTGCAAGAGGAGCTGATCACATACGGTCCTGTGACCCAGTCCTTTTTCCTACAGAACATGGGTATTGAGGTTCGACTGGCGGTGAGTGACTTCTGAAGAAGCTTTGAATTAGTCTTGTTGTGAAAAAAGATCAGTACTTTTATTAGAATGAACAAAAATTTACAGTAAATGTTCATTGTATGATCATATAGTTGATTTAAGATGTGCAAAAACTATAAGCTGAATCTTGTTTTTGTTTTGTGGATGGAAGTAGTATTTTGACAGAAGAAAAGAATGTGAATTTCAAAGAGAGATATTTGGAATGATTTCAAAATGAAAATAGTCATAGAAAATTACTTTTTTCTTTCTATTTTTTCAGAATTTATTAAAGAATACCAAGCCTGAAGAACAGAAGAATCTGATCTCGGGATACAAGATGCTAACAGACCGCCATCAGATGGGCGAAAGGTTTAAATTTCTTGCTTTCTTCCCAGGTGTTGTAAAGGATTTCCTGTTAAAGTATCCACCAGCCGGTTTCTATAGAGATTTTGATGAAAGATAAACCAAATTTACCTTTTTTCTTTTCCAAGTGAAACAAGTGGTAGATATGTATATAAGTTGAATAAAGTTTTTTTTTGAATGACTTTGGTTCATCATTCATCCCCAATAAACTTTGTGAATTGTTCAATCAAATCTCCAATCAATCAAATGTATGTGTGTGTATGCGTGTGTGTGTGTGTGTGTGTGTGTGTGTGTGTGTGTGTGTGTGTGTGTGTGTGTGTGTGTGTGTGTGTGTGTGTGTGTGTGTGTGTGTGTGTGTGTGTGTGTGTGTGTGTGTGTGTGTGTGTGTATGTGTATGTGTGTTGTGTGTGTGTGTGTGTGTGTGTGTGTGTGTGTGTGTGTGTGTGTGTGTGTGTGTGTGTGTGTGTGTGTGTGTGTGTGTGTGTGTGTGTGTGTGTGTGTGTGCATATATTTATATATATATACACACGCACATATATATATATATATATATATATATATATATATATATATATATATATATATATATATATATATATATATATATATATATATATATATATATATATATATATATATATATATATATATATATATATATATATATATATATATATATATATATATATATATATATATATATATATATGGAGGGTATAAGCTTTTATTGTTATACCAGACGCCATAGTCACTGTCTTGGGGACATAAGGGTGATAATCTACAAGTGCCACTGCACAATGCTGGGTCAACAGGGTCAGGAGAGGCCAGGGCACTGGGCACTGCGCCGCAGTTCAGTACTAACCGTGATAGTGTGTAGACAACGAAACGGATTATTTTAGGTGAAGTTATTTATAATTTTAAAAACTCACGAAGTGACATATTGACAAGGGTATGTATCACTTTGTATCTCCAAGGGGAGACTTGTACTCTTCAGGAGAGGTGGGAATTCATCTGTACAAATGAAATATAAAGAAATTTCTTGTTTGCCATGACCATTTGGGAATACTGACAGCGAATCTTATTAGAGTGAAGTCATACGTAAACTTGGAAGTATTATTCTCATCCAAACCTGGGCTCTTTCCAGAGAGAGTGGAATAAAATCTTGGTAACAGTGGCCTATACGTGAATATATGTGGGTATGCTCACCTAGTTATCATTTCTATGCAAGGGAGCATTTAGAAATGGCATAAAGTAGTATAGCAACACCTAAAAGGATGATAGGTAACAATATCAGAATACCCCCCAATCCCTTGCCCGTTGTTGTCGTGGGGGGCTTAGGAAATGGAGACTGAGATTCAATGCAGGGATCTCTCCTGTCTAGGGCCTCAGCCCTCGAGTTACCTAATTTTGTATGATCTTTTCTCCCTCCAGCTCTTTCATTTCCGTCCCTTCTACTATCTACTTCCTTAGGTGTAAGAGCCGTGCTGAAAAGATGAAAGGCTGATTCTGTGCCAGTCCTGAACGGCCTGAGGGAACCATGGGCACGGTATTCCCCTGTTTTGTTATTTAGCCCATACGCCTCAAGAGGTCTCTGAGGGGTTTACTGTTTATTTCCCCAACATAGCTAAGGCTTTCCATGACCAGTAATGAAGATGTAATACCCATATTATAGGCAATGAGGCTTGCCCCTTCATCTAATAGCCACATCAATTCAACCTCTCCCGGTTCCCCGATCCCAGGCTCTCTTTGACCACGACTCTGAACACTACAACTACTACCCACTCCTTAATGCCTCCTAGTGCATTATCCACCCAAGTCGAGACTCCTACTCTCCCAAACTTCCACAACTCTACCCCCACAGCCTTCTTCACCAATCACCTCATCTTCCCTTATTGCTACCCTACAGCCTTATTATCCATCTCTCCGTAATACTACCCACCTCAACAATACTCCCTCTTCCACATGCCCCCGTCCTTCTACCACCCACAACTCTAGGAATATCTTAAATACCCTATTTAGCCCAGCCAAATGGGACCGATTTTTTGTGATCCCCCCTACAGCTCCTTACTCAGGCAACACTCTTCTCTTTCAACAATATCTCCAAGAGTAAATGGGCAGAGCCCACTTCCGTACCCGATCGTTCCCGTCTCGTTACAGTTACATCTGAAAATGAAGCTATAGCATTATCAGATCTAACTGATCACTCTGGCAATCCCATTCCTGCAGAACCTCATCCGACTCTTAATACTTGTACCGGAACTGTCTCTATCTCCCCAGCAAGCTGCCGTATGGATATCGATTGGTCAGATTGTGGAGAATACTTACTCGGCTGCCTTAAAGACCGCGATGTGATACCAGCACACTGTTACTCCATTCCTCCTAGAGGTCATCGAAAGAAACCCACCAACATCGCCAAAATTACTTACCGTACACACGACCTTCCCTTTCGTATCTACATTGGTGGACAATCCCTCCCTGTTCGACCATGCCAATTTCCTCCCCGTCAATGTCAGAACTATTGGCGCTTTGGACATCCTGCCAAACACTGCCGTTCCACAGACTAATGCCCCCTATGTGCCCAACCCGGTCATAACAGATCAAACTGCTCTGCAAAAACACGCACATGTGCGAATTGCGGCGGCCCCCATAATGTATTTTATAGAGGCTGTCCCACTTACAAGTTCGAGTCTGAGGTAGCAACTAAGATACAAAAATGGTCTCACTCTACGTGAAGCCAGACAGGAAGCACGCCGACAAGGTTTCTCTTATACTCCCAACTCCAGTAATGTCGCTCGCTCTGCCCCTCCCCCTCCACCTCAAGATGTTCCTACACCCTCCCTTATACGTACTTACTTCCCCACTTCCACTTCTACATTGAACCTCCCCCAATCAAATTCTTTTGTCACTCTAAATCCAGACACCCCAATCTCAACCACAGCTCCAATCTCAACTACAGCCCCAACACCATCCCCTCTCCCTCCCCGCACTACCCGCAGTAAACAGACTAAATGTTCCACCCCTTCTTCCCCTACCGCACACTCACCTCCACCTACCTTTACCTTTACTCCTCAGACACCAGTCTCCTCTTCACCCCCCCCCTCATAAGAAAACCTTTGTCTCACAAAACACTCCAACCAACTCCACTGCAGAAACTATGGAAGATATTCAAAGCTATATTCTTGAGACACAAAAATCACAACGCATGCTCCCTCCACACTTGAAGTGACTGCCGATATCCATCCCCCTCCTAACCTTCTCAATTCCGCCTATTACCGATATCCATCCTCCCGACACCCATCCTCCTCTTACTCATGTTCCCCCTACACCCCTCCCTCCTACTCCCGCCCAACACAACCCATTCCCCTCACCTCCATCTACTGCCGATATCCATCCTCCCGACACCCATCCTCCTCCTACTCACATTCCCCCTACACAACTACACGTACATTCTCCCTTCCTCCATCCCCTCTATCATTTCCACTTCCTCCTGGATACACACGTGAAACATTCATGTCATTCCCTTACCTAAACCCACCATAGCCCACTCACACAGCAACTCCTTTACCCATCTTTAACCTTTCAAGATTACTCTAGATAGTTGACGCATAGCAACTATCACCCTTCACCCCTCCTTTAATATAGTTTCCTATAGTCCTATATGACCTTAGATATCTAGCACATTTATTTTCCTTTTTAACCATTAACCAACCAATATCAGAATAGAATGGAAGTAACAATAGGTATAGGATGAATAAAAAGAGTAACGAGAAAGCACAGTGATCGACATGAATACCTAATTACCATGTGGATTTCAGATAGTTTCTGTTTAGATTTCAGACAGCCGATCAGACGAGGGAAGCGAGTCTGATTTGGCACCTGGAGCGACTGAATGTGGAATCTGCAAGTGTGCCTTGCAAAGTTGTCTATTATGTGACTAGGAGTCAAGGCTACGCATGCTACTCTAGCAAACCGTTAGCGACAGAAAGAACGTGAGGTGAGCTTGA